CATCCATCCCTAAAACCCAGTTTTAAGTGTGGCTGGGGAAGAAGAGTCTACACACTGGATTGAGAGGCCATTTGGTCCCAGAAATTAATACAGCAACAATGTCACTCACGGGTTGTGTCAGAAATGGACTCTTGTGGGAATACAACAGAAGGCAGGCACAGAAAGAAAGTGAGCAGAGATCCCACCTGCTTGAAACCAAGGTTGTGGCCTATGACACAGAGGAGAGGTTGATCACAGAGAACTTCAACACTGTGCTGACTACCTGACAGGAAACAGACATACCAGCCAGAACATTAGAAGAGGGGGTTTTAAACCAGTTCCCATGAGTCACTGAAGCACCGCAAACTTCACTACTTCACTTGTTTACTTTTTTTATCTTTTACTTAATAAACTAAAATATTTCTTCCTCTTTTCTCACTTTGTCTTATCTTTTTATTATTACTATTATTTTTCCTTTATTTTTTGTTATTACTATTATTTTTCCTTTAAAAAAGTTGTTTTAATTTTATTATATTTTATTTTTGGATTAGTGTTCTACATTCTATTTTTTTCCTTTTAGCATTATTTTACTCAATTTTTCCTTTATGACAATATTCTCTTCCTCACTTTCCTTCTTTTTCAGCCTGTTTCTCTTACCTTATTACTGCTTTAGTTTTCCTCTATCTTTTCTTTTGATTCCCTGTTAAAACTTGATCTTATTCATATATCTAATTTCCTCTTCCCTCCTCCAAGTCCACGGACACCTTTTCTCTTTCTTCACTAGCCAATTTTTCTTGTTCCATTTTTTCCTTTCTTTGTTAATTTTTTTGCTTCTGTTTTTACTCTCTTCACTTGTTCTCTTCTACTAATAGCATAATTAGTTTTAATCACCAACTAAGGCCTATCTGCTCTCTATTCTTTTCCAAAATTACATGAATACATAAATAGGTAGAATGAAGAGGAAAATTTTTATATATATGTATATAGATTTTCTTATGTCTATGTTTTAACATATGTGTTATAATTTATATTTTTCTTCTTGGTATTTTGTTTTTTACTTTTCTTCTTATATTGCCGAAACCAGTTTGGCTCAGTGGATAGAGCGTTGGCCTGCACACTGAAAAGTCCCAGGTTCGATTCCGGTCAAGAGCATGTACTTTGGTTGCGGCCACATTCCCAGTAGGGGGTGTGCAATAGGCAGCTGATCAATGACTCTCTCTCATTGATGTTTGTAACTCTCTATCCCTCTCTCTTCATCTCTGTAAAAAGTCAATAATATATCTATATCTATATCATATATATATATATATATATATATATTATGCATGTGCAAGTCAACATTTATTTTTAAATTGACAGTGTGCATCATATGTACCAACTGGTCAGCCGGTCATCACACAGCCTTTTATACTAGAGGCCTGAAATTCATGCATGGGGAGAAGTTTCTTCAGCCCAGCCTGTACCTTCTCTAATCATAGGGATCAGGCCTAAACTGGTAGTCAGACATCCCTTTCACAATCCAGGACCACTGGTCCCTAACTGCTCACATATCTGCCTGCCTAATTACCCCTAACTGCCCACCCCCACTGGTCTGGTCACTCCCAACTGTCCCCCCTGCCAGCCTAGTCACCCCAACTGTCCCCCCAACTGCTCCTCTGCCTGCCTGGTTACCCCTCACGGGCCCCCTGTCAGCTTGGTCACTCCTTACTGCTTCCCCTGCTGGCTTGGTTGCCCCTCACTGGCCTTTCCTCCCCACTGGCTTGTTCGGCCCATGCAGCCTGCTACTCAATCATTTGGTCACCCCTCACTTGGTCACTCTGTCAGCCTAGTCACCCCACACAGCCTGGCCGGTAATCCGAAAAACCTGTTTGGTTGCAATGGTAGCTTAGGCTTTTATATATATAGACTAGTGGCCCAGTACACGGAATTTGTTCATGGGGCAGGGAGCGGGGGGCTGAAGAGAAGGGTGTCCATCAGCCCAGCCTGTACTCTTTCCAATCCAGAATTGCTTGGGGAATGTCTGCCTGCTGGCTCATAAGCACTCACCTGCCTGCCTGATCAACCCTAACCACTCAGCCTGCTTCCCTTCTCATCCCCAACTGCCCACCCTACCAGCCTTCTCATTCCCAATTGCCTCCCTTTTCAGCCTGATCACCAACTTACCCCCCTATAGACCTGCTTGTTCCCAACTGTCCCCCTGCCAAAGTGCTCTCCCTCAATGGCACCCCTGCCAGCCTGTTCATTCCCAACTGTCCCCCCTGCTGGCCTGCTAGCCCCCAAATGCCTTCCCCTCCTGATCTGACTGTCCATAATAGCCTCTGCGTCAGCCCTGCCACTATGGCTTTGTCAGGAAAGTCTCCCAGTCTAATTAGCATATAACCTTTATCAGTATAGATTAGAGAGCTGGTGCACAAAATTTGTGCAGGGGGGTGGGAAGCTCTCAGTCCAGCCTGCATCCTCTCTAATCTGGGACCCTTCAGGGATCCCTGTGGGATGGGGTTTATACCAGCAGTGAGACATCCCTCTCACAATCCAGGACCAGCGGCTCCAACTGCTCAGCTGCTTGCTTGATTACCCCTAACATCCTCAGCCTGCTGGCCTAATTGCCCCTAACTATCCCCGCTTCCTGCAGACCTGGTTGCCTCGTATAGCCTCCCCCACCCAGGGTCTGGTCACCCCTAACTGCCTCTCTTGCAAGTCTAGCTGCCCCTAACTGCGCTCCCCCACCCCATGTGAGCCGGCTATGGGGATCAGGCCTGAACCAGCAGTTAGAAATACCCCAAGGGGTCTTGGTTTAGAGAGGATGCAGGCTGGGCTAAGGGAACACTCACCCAACCTGCACAAAATTTGTGTACATGGGGATAGGGTCTCCTCAGCCCAACCTGCACCCTCTCCAATCCAGGATCCCTCTCACAATTTGGAATCACTGGCTCCTAACCACTCACTTGATTGCCTGGCTGAAAATTCCTAACTGCTCCGTTGAGGTCTTGATAGCTCTAAGTGCTTTCCCTTTCTGACATGATCCCCTAACTACTCTCCCCCCTTGGCCTGATTCCCATCTGCTGATCTGATCCCTCTAACTTACTGTGCCCTTCTACAGGCCTGATCCCCCTAACTGTTCTCCCCTCCTGGCCTGTTCCATCTAACTGCTCCTCCCTGCCAGCCTGATCCTCCTAATTGCCCTCCCCTGCTGGTCTGACCCCCCTAAATGCCTATGTGTTCTCTCCCTGGCATGATCACCCTAACTAGCTAATTGTTCTTCCCTCCTTTCAAGAGCTGTTTCTCATTTACTACAGTCTTTTGGATGTCCTGGATCAGAACCTCCACTGCTTTTCAAAACCAGATATTTTGGATATATAAGACAGTTTCACTAGAATAGTCACATGATAAAAGTCAAATGGGCAGTGATTAAAAAAAGAAGATAAATGGACAAAGAGGTTCAATTTAGGTAGAAAAGTAGAAAATACTCCACTAGTGGATTGGTAATGATCCAGCAAGCCATAAAAGGATTAGGGGAGAAAGAACAGAGTTAGCACAGTTAGAAAGGTGCATCCTTTAAAACTGGTGTGTTTGATGTGAGATATAATCCCTTTTCTCCTCAAGGAGAAGCTCCAAGTTTGTGAATTACCTCTCAAAGTGGGTCACTATATAGGGTGGGGTCTATCTGTCTTTCTGATCTCCATGTGTTGACAAGGATATACTCCCAAAGTAGTATACTCAGTTACATTTCCTAACTATTGTTTTATGAAAAGTGTTTTAAAACATTTTAAACCGAAGTATATATACCTCTTATTATTCCCAAGAATTACTGCTCTGAAAAGGAATAAAACTATACCAAAAATAAGCTATCATGTATCACTTTCTAAAACAAATTCAGCAATTCTTACCGTATGCTCTTCCTCATGCACCACAAAATTGAAAATAAATAAATAAAATACCACTTGATTGCTGAACCTGCTGGTCTAAGCCCTTGACCAGCAGATTAGGTCTTCACCTGGGAACTTCTTAGAATGCAGTATCTTAGCCATCTACTCCAACCCACTTCATATCACTTTAATCTTTTGACACATATTGAATCAGAATATGCAATTTGACAAAATACCAAACTGACCTGCATAAGTTTGAAAAGCACTGTCCTGGACCACTGTGCTAACTCTGTTCTTTCTCCCCTAATCCTTTTATGGCTGGCTGCATCTGTCACATAACCAAGTCCATTACTTATCCTATTCTGCTACTTTTTTCTAACTAATTCTCAATCCTTTATTCATTTTTTTCTTACTCTTTTTTTAATTTATTTCCATCTTTTTTAAAAATTGCTCTTTTGATTTTCCAATATAGCAGAAATTTTCAATCTTTTTCATCTAATGACAAATAAAAAGTAGTTACATTCTGCAGCACACCAAATAACCTGACTAAAAAAATTATGATAGGTATAAGTCTAATTCATACTTTTTATGAGCAAAAAGTTTGCAAGAGGCTTTTATGTTGGTTGTCATTTTTTTCCAGTCTAGGGAGAAAAAGGTCAGTGTGCTGACTAAATTAGTCTGGTATTGCATGTCTTAAAAATTCTTAAGGCACACTAATGTGCCTACAGTTGCACACTCATTGAAAACTGGCATGCTAGACTATTTCATGGAACTCACAATCTATCAAAATGGCTTAAAACTTTAACCTTTATTATGCAGTTATGTACTGAATTTCTGAATTTAAATACAGAATATATTCATTCCCAAGAGAGGCATGTAAACATACAAATGAAAATGCTGACCTAGAAATGTTTGAGGGTGATTGAGTTTTAGGAAATCTACTTTACATCTCAAAAGCATTACAATGTTTCAACATATCCTATCATAAATCAAGGCCATATAACCAACTCAAGTTCTAAGAAATTAAGAGTCTTCCTTAACACTGTAATGGAATATAACTTATATTTAAAGCTATATCAAAATTATACATTAAAAGTTTATCAAGCAGATGTACATTTTGACATTTTACATGGGCCTTGCTCCCTTAATACTCACAAGATCAGCATATTTCTTACAGAGAGCTGCCAGCTTCTCCTCTGGAGTTGAAAGAGTATTTAAGGCTTGCATCAATAATAATACTTCTTTTCCTAATAATTTAACAAGATAAAAGGAAAGTACCAAAAGGTAAAATTAATACAATCTGTAAATTCCAAATAAAATTTATGTTCAGACACTGAGACTATAATTTAAGGCAATATAATTAGATATAGAGATTCATCTGCTAAATTACAGAAACTAGTTTCAAATTGTGACTGAGAGCGCCACATCCAAATTTCTTCACTTATCCTCTATCGCTGGTAGATATTAGCAAATTGGCCCTTAAACAGAAGTAATATTTAAAAGTTTAAAAACACTAGCCAAATCCTAATTCTAAGTTAAGATATTTTCCTTAAAGATGAAATATATTTTTAAGAACTTCCTCCTATCAGGAACAAATGTACAAGAAAAGTTCAAAAAGCAAGCACACTCAGCCTATATGTAAAATGCACATAATCCATTACTAACATTTTTCCCAAGTTGTGTTTTCTGATGATTTACTAAGCATAATCTTAGTATTAGTCAAGAATAGGGTCAAAAATAGAAAGACAAATTAGCTCATCCCTTGAGAAAAGTTTTAAATAGTACTTCAAAAACTGTGGTGGAGATAAAAATGGGGCTGAAATAAGTGTGAGAAACTAAATAATAAATGTTTTATTTCTTGAACTGGGGATAGAAACTCTTTTTTGCTAAAGTGTTGACTCTTGTACATAAAATATTTTTCTTTTTATTAATCTGAAGAGAACTCTGATATGTGGTATACCTTATAGACTTCTATGAATATGGAAAGGGAGAACAGAGTGACTACAAAATGAGTAATTTTCTAGCACAAAATTTTAGCTTTAAAACCTTTTCTTGTTAAATTTAAATCCAAATAAAAACAGAAATGTAATTATTAAATGCTAATAGTAAGACTAAAATTAATTTGAAATTTTCTGTAAGTTTTATTCTCCATTTAAAACTAAAACAATTTAACGTGAAACTATTTTTCAAACACTATTGGGTCTAGTATTTTTGAAGATATCGGTCTTGTTGCAAGAGATTATAAATACTTTTTATATTCTTAAGAATAAATTAAAGAAATAAAATTCTGGTTATAATCATGTACAGAAGTCAGTCAAATCAGACAAGATAACTATTATATATAAATGGGATACAATACTGAGGGGCAAATAGCATGGCAAAATAATTATTTTAGATTTTATTAATGACATTTAACATACCACATTCTAATTACTAACTGTCAAACTAATACTGCAGTAAGGAAGAAAACATTCCTTAAAATCCACGCACTTTTTAAACAAGTAACGTATCATTTTTAAGTTTTAGTGAATATCCTTTAAATAAATAAATGAAGCATATATAGTTAAAACAGCAATTACTGATCAAATAAGGCAAATCAAATACCATTTCTGCAAAACTGGCCACCAATATTTTCAGAAGAAATAATTTTTGATTATTCAGAGAAAAATAACTCTAGTTCCTATACCTAAGCTTCCTACTCTGCTTTGTTCACCTCCTGCATGGAACAGACAGGCACAATGATCCGATCAAAGAAAATAGATGTAGTAGCTAAGTAACATCAACCACAAACCTGGCAGTATTCCATAATCATATGTACTGTAGAAAATATAAGTAAATGATCTGTGTATAAAAATGTTTAACCACTAAGCAGAGAATATTACCTAAAGTTTTTTCTTTGTTCTTGTTGCACTCTGAACCTTGTTGACTTTCAGAAGACTCTATTCCAGCTTTAAGCCCAGGAGGTTTCTTTCTTGACTCTTGCATGCAGTATGCTTGGCTCACCAAATTCCTATTTTTTATTATAAAGTGACTGCCTTCATCCTCTTCCAGTGAATGTTTGTTACCCGTGCCATCACAATTTGAGTCATGATGTTGGAGAATATCATTTGACTGAGAGTTACACAACATGTCTGCTTTTACTCCTGGTCTGCAAATTCTAGATTCTTCCATTGTACCAATTACAAGCTAGACAGAATAACAGGAAGGGAGGGAGAGAGAGGGAAAAGCAGTTAAATATAATTAAGGAAAGAAACCTATGCCATACAGAAAAGTATAGTTTTTATTTTGCTTTTTCGCATTTACAATGTACTTTATACTTTGTTCATGTTTAAATGCAGATGGTATGATCAATAGTACAGGTCATCATTTGATAGTTTTTTATATAATAATAATGTTTCTCTGAATCAAAAAAGGGAAAGAAAGGGAAGGGACTACCATAATATGGATTAGAAACCCCAAGGCTCTGTGCCTTCAACAATAAAGTGCTGGCAGGATCTATTTGAAACAACTTCTGAAGAACTTCAGAATCTTCTGAAAACTTACAGCACAAAATAAAAACTTATAGCTCAATAGAAAATAGCCCAATAGGAGACGTAGTAAATAAAAACATATAGCCCAATAGAAGGCTTAGTGAATAAAAAAGCATCTGCTTTCAGTAGGACAATCCTGTGCAATTTCAAACTTCCTGCCCACCATTCTTCACACCCCAAGGTCAAAAACAGTCTAATGACAGCAGCCCACATTTATTTAATAATACCAGAGGAAACATTACTTTGAAAACTTTATGGCCCCATCCAACCTTTCTGACTACTCCCTAAGAAAATTGTCTATGAATTTGCCTTTATTTCACCCTTGGAAGAGTTGTTCTGGGAAGCTTTTAGATAAACATATTCAAGTACTACCCTGTTTCCCCGAAAAATAAGACAGTTTCTTATATTAATTTTTGCTCCCAAAGATGTGCTATGTCTTATTTTCAGAGGATGTCTTATTTTTCCATGAAGAAGATTATGGTGTTAAAAGAAAATAAATGTTAAATGAAAATAAAGGAAGGAAATTTACCACCTGAATATGGTATGGTAGTACGGCAGCTGTCAACACAAATCAGACAAACTGTGAATCCTACAGTATCAAGAATTTACTCATTTATTCAATGACAATCATCTCATCATCTTCTGGAACATCATCATAACAATCCAATTCCTGAATTTCCTGGTAAATTTCTTGTGACTCCATTTCTTTCAGAATCAGTGGACCAAATCTCTCATGTTTAGCCTACGGGGGCCTTATTTTCAGGGGATGCTTTATATTTCACTCAGAAGGAAACCTTTAAGTAGGTCTTATTTTCGGAGGATATTTTATTTTTGGGGAAACATGGTAACTTCAATAATAATCAAAAAGGCTAATAATCCACAAAACTAATCCATGATCTCAGTCTGATTTTCAGTCTTGCCTTCAAGCTGTAAAGTGAAGGCTAAGGCATAGAAGTAAATAGCTGACTAAGCATTCTAAACTACTAAAAAGAAAACATGTATTGCTTATACTTTTGGACCAATTCTCCCTTTCTTCATGTTCACCAGTTTCCCTGTGTACCCTCTATATATTCTGATGTTAGTCCCCTCAAGTAGAAAAATGCTATGGTTGAAGTCAAGGGTCTGCCCATACCCAAAAATAGGCATGGCTGCTCTATTGCATAGATAAAACTCATTAATTCTCATTGCTCTAGTCTGTATTTTTTTCTGATAAACTTTTAACAGCTGTGTGATCTGTAATTTAGAAAATTACACAGACTGGCAGATTAAAGACCTCTCTCTTTAGAACCACAACTAGGGAAATAAATTACAGCTCCTAAATGAATTATCTGAGTTATTCACAAAGATACCTACACCAAGTGAAACCAAGTCTCATGTCAAGCCAGTACTACCTAAATTGCTATAATTGCTTATTGGTTTCATCACTGTGTTGATCATAGCAAAACCTCCACCATGAGACTGGGAACTAAGTAAGGAATTCTTCATTTTTGACACAGTTGTCTCCATATTGGGAAGGGAACAGCAAGAAGGGTAGTTCAAGCACTACCCTTGAACTACCTTATCTAGGTAGTTCAAGCACGTAAGACCTTTGAAACCTCTGGGCTATTAGTCATGGATACCCGATGATGACCACCTCAGGTCATAGGGGCTGCTGTTCTACTCTTAGATAATCTAGTCTGATAATGGTATACTCTGGCATTTTTATATCCTGCCTCACCCCCACCCCCCCAAAAAAAATCCCATTTACCACTGAAACAAAACAATTAAGATACTTAGGAATAAAGTTACCCATGGAAGTAAAAGATCTGTACTCTGAAAACTACAGGAAATTAAAAAAAGAGATAGAGGAAGATATAAACAAATGGAAGAATACACTGTGTTCATTGATTGAAAGAGTCAACATCATTAAAATGGCCAAACTATCCAAAGCTGTCTATAGATTCAACGCAATCCCTATTAAAATACAAACAGCATATTTCACATACCTAAAACAAGTCCTCCAAAAATTTATGTGGAATAAAAAAATTTATGTAGGAATAAAATATGGAGGATCCAAGATGGCTGCTCGGGTAGACATCTAGCCGCGGCAGCACACAACAATTTCAATGGAATACAACTAAAATGTAGAGTGGACATTGCCCAGAGCTACAGGTAGTCGACTGACTGAAATTTCTACAACAAGAAGGAAAGAGAAAACCAGAAAGAAAATCAGAGGAGCTGAAAAAAAGCCTAAGGTACGGAGACATGATGCGCGCGCCGGCCCGCCCGCACGCCAGCGGGGAGAGGTCGCAGCCAGAGAGGAGGAGAGGGCGGGGAGCCACCTTTCCTTCCCTAGCAGGAAGGAAATAAAACCCCCAGCCTGGGCTGAACCCCCGAACCGGCAGCGCTGAGCCCCCCCGAACCGGCAGCGCTGAGCCCCCCGAACCGGCAGCGCTGAGCCCCCCCGAACCGGCAGCGCTGAGCCCCAGTTATGGGCCAGACCCTGGGGACCCAGGCTCCGGCGGGAGGAGACAGGGCCGTGAGGCGGAAAAACGGCGAAAGGCAGGGCCCCGGGAGTCGCGCGCAATGCGCGCAGAGGACTGAATGTTGACTCTGATGCTGGGTTGCCCTAGCCGGAAGAAACAAGGCCTCCGGCGGCGCTGAGCCTCAGTCCGGACTGCTCCGAACCCCAGTTCTGGGCCAATCCCTGGGGACCCAGGCTCAGGCAGAGGGAGACGGGGCTGTGAGGTGGAGTCCGGGGAGAGCAGCGAAAGGCCGGGCCCCGGGACTCGCGCAAACTGCGCGCAGAGGACAGTCTGTGGGACTCACGCAAACTGCGCGCAGAGGACAGTCTGTTGACTCTGATGCTGGACTTCCCTAGCGGGAAGGAGAAAAAAAAAGCTCTAGGCTGGGGGAACGCGAAGGGGAGCGGAAGCCCCTGCCGGACTCCAGCCAACCAGGCACCAGCAAGGAGGCGGGCCACGAGGCCCCTGGGGGCGTGGGTGCCCCTGAGCCTTTGACCACTGAGCTCGGGCAATGGAGCCAAGGCCAGGGGCTGCTTCCTGGGCGGCGCCGTCCCGGCAACAGGCTGAAGCAGCGCAGGAGCCCGTGGGGAACAAAGGGGTGCCACAGGCCAACCTGCTGAGCTCCCAGGACAAGGAAGAAGAAACCAAAGAAGTTCTCAATGTGAAGAAATCAAGTGAGCAAAAAATAGTAAAATTACTTAAGAAAGAATACAAAGAAGATCTTGAAAAATCAAAGACTAAGTCAGAACTCAACTCACCAGCCAACATTGCAACATAAATGCGTTTTAAAAAGAAAAAAAAAGGACAGAATGTTGGAACAGCGACAGCCAGGCCTAGAGTGGCCAGGCACAAGGCAGTGGCAGCCAGACCCGGAGCAGCAACGGCCAGGCCCCAGAACAACAGCAGCCAGAACCAGAGCATCAACAGCCAGCACTGGAGTAGCCAGACCTGGGGCAGTGGCAGCCAGGCATGAGGCGGAGGCGGCCAAGCCCAGGGTGGCCAGTCCAGGAACACCCAGACCCGGAGTGGCCGGGCACGAAGAAGTCGGGCCCAGAGCAGCCGGGGTGGGAGCAGCCAGACCCAGAACAGCAGTAGCCAAGCCCAGAGCATCCAGGTCGGGAGTGGCCAGGCTCGGAGCGGCCGGGCCCGGGGCAGCCGGGCCCAGAGCAGCCGGGTCAGGTGCGGCCAGGCCCGGAGCAGCGGCTGCCAGGCTGGGAGCGGCCAGGCCCGGGGGAGCAGGCGGGTCGGGTGCGGCCAGGCCCGGAGCAGCGGCTGCCAGGCTGGGAGCGACCAGGCCCGGGGGAGCAGGCGGGTCGGGTGCGGCCAGGCCCGGAGCAGCGGCTGCCAGGCTGGGAGCGGCCAGGCCCGGGGGAGCAGTCGGGTCGGGTGCGGCCAGGCCCGGAGCAGCGGCTGCCAGGCTGGGAGCGGCCAGGCCCGGGGGAGCAGGCGGGTCGGGTGCGGCCAGGCCCGGAGCAGCGGCTGCCAGGCTGGGAGCGGCCAGGCCCGGGGGAGCAGGCGGGTCGGGTGCGGCCAGGCCCGGAGCAGCGGCTGCCAGGCTGAGAGCGGCCAGGCCCGGGGGAGCAGGCGGGGCTGGTGCGGCCAGGCCCGGAGCAGCGGCTGCCAGGCTGGGAGCGGCCCGGCCCGGGGGAGCAGGCGGGGCTGGTGCGGCCAGGCCCGGAGCAGCGGCTGCCAGGCTGGGAGCGGCCAGGCCCGGGGGAGCAGGCGGGTCGGGTGCGGCCAGGCCCGGAGCAGCGGCTGCCAGGCTGGGAGCGGCCAGGCCCGGAGCAGCAGCAGCCAAGTCCAGAGCAACTAGGTCGGGAGCGGCAGTGACCAGACCCGGAGCAGCTGGTTGTGGAATGAACCAGAGCAACAGAGGCCAGGCCCTGAGCAGCCAGGCCCAGAACAGCTCGCTCCTTGCCTGCCCCTGCCCCACGGCTGCTTCTCAGACATGGCTGGAAACTTTCTTGGGAACTTGAGGGTCTGCTGAATCAAGTGATGAAGGCTTAGATCTGGATGTGTTGAGTTAGTTTAGGACTGGGGTGTTGATCTGTGAGTGCCTTGGGTGGGGCCTGGATGAGGCTGGTTGACCTAGTGGGAAATGTCTTTTGTGTGAAGTGTATCATTGGGCATGTGGAGG